GAGACTTGGCGTGACGTGGCATTATGCTACGTCACAGGGAAATTACCGATTACAATTCAATTATTATTAACTCCGGCTCAAGCCAGCTGAAGCGGCTTGAAAGCCTAGCCATGAGCCGCGCCGATGATTTTGAGCCACTGACACTGGACCGAGAAACCCCACTAGTAGTCGCATAAAACTCTCAGCTGGAAGGCTTTGAATAGCAGAGACCTTTACTTGGTTGGTCGTTATCATTACTTTAGGTTAGCTGCTGACTTTCCTCATAGGCGAGGGCACACTGGTAGTCGCATAAAGCTCTCAGCTGGGAATTAGCTCAATGGTTTTTGAATAGCAGAGACCTTTACTTGGTTGGGTTAGCGTTGACTTTCCTTATAATTAAGTACCTGGACAAGTCCTAACAATTACCTTCCTGCTTTTGACCAGATCTTCAAGTTCGATAGCAATATACCTGCAGCTCCACAAGTCGGTGGTCCCAGAGCTCCAACAGGCAGTCACGGATTGGAGGAGAAGAACGAGGGAGCTCAGTGAGAAAATCAAGGACAATACAAGTACGTGTCTATATATCCGATAAACGTGCCATCTTATCAGTTGGCGCCTATAGGTCCCCAAATGACTTCATTGAATCGTGATTATCTCTAAAGGTCTTTGGATTCCACGCCCATCAAATTCCGTATACGCATATGTTCTGATATGACTTACATATCTAACATGAATTCTTGCTTCTTGCTTCTGGCTTCTACTATCTGCTTCTGTTTCTACCGACAGTTCAAGTTTTTTCTGATTGTGGCTTCACCATCAATATCCACAAGTCCAAGGCTTCAAGCTTCAAGCACGAAATGCATTATGCATACGCATACTTGACTCGGTAACAATTCTTTTGTGCCCTCGGTTTTCCGAAACGCAGATCTGATTATGTTTTTCTCAATGGAAGTATTTCGCACTTCACTATGTTAGCGAAATGGGCACCGAGAACAAAAACACGTAAAAAAGCATCAAGAAAAACCACCACCACCAGCGTGCAGTTGAGTAAAGTATGTAACTCTGCATAGTACTCAGTCGCACACCCCTAGGAATTTATGAATGAATGTCCATAAAGAAGAAGGAAGGAAAGAAGGAATTCGAATTAACCGGGTCCGCGTACTGCAGGAACTATTTTTCTTTTTTTGGCTCGGCGCATTCGAACGTACGGTCAAGGGCTCAAGGCTCCACGAATGTTGGTGGTTGCTGGCTAGCTAGAGGTCTGCTTCCGGTATCATGATCAAATGGTATGTTCCGTTCAACGTTCAGGCTTTCAGGCTTTCTAGTCTTTGGCGTTAACTGGGATGTCTTTGATTCTATTCATGATGAGGGTTACCTATGGGCTACTAAAAGTGACTCAAGTTAGGTCTAGAGGACCAAGGTATGTACCTCAAAAACAGATAATAGATTCCGGATCCTTAACGGAAGCGTCGGGACTCCTAACAAACTACAGCTATTGGAACGTTCAGCCACGTTCGTTTTTTGCTCCTACATACACGGATGTATATGTCTGGAAGTATTTCGGACTTCCCGCTTGCCCATCAGTGGCTTACAAGACAACACACCAATGGATTTAAACTCAAAGAATCCATTTTTATTCGTTCGATAGCGATGTGCGATTGTGGTATGTATTGCAATTCCATCTGCGTGACTCCTCCCGTTGAGTTTCCACTTTTGGATCGACGATCTTGAGAAATGAATGTGCGTTGATTTGCTTGTGATTAAAGCAAGGGCGACGGCCTTGCAGGACTGGGGCTGAGTCGCTCAAATGTATAGACGTTTCGAGCCATTTTTTTCTCTTTCTTCAAGTCAGGTGTCGGTTTAGGACGTCGTTCAACTCCAGTAGGGATGCTTCAGGGAAGTTTTTATCGCACGTTCGAGGATATAGAGCCGCTCTCTCGGTGATCGGACCGTTTGTCTACCTCTGTCAAAATCTCCCAGCTCCGAGGGGCATATCTATATTAGATAAACGAGGAACGTGCTTTAAGCGAGATCTAATAAACCATTAATTAACTGATAACTGACATGGCAAGAGCCCTGTTGTCTTTTCTTTAGGCTCCCTTACTCCTCCCATTCCAGCGTCCCCGGTCGTCTTAGAGGCTGTGAGCGTCTTCAAGGTTATTAGACCTAGACTTGAGCCCAAATCCTCGCCCTTCCTCGGTCACCCCTTAACCTTGCCCAAGTCGACCGTCATGGTGTCCCTATCGCTGTCCAAGTCAATCCCCGCCTATCTCCCATTCTCCCTACCTCCCTCCACCTCCCTAGACGACTTCTCCGAATCCCTCATTTTCTACTTCTCCTTCATCACTCTCACCTCTGCTTTTCATCTCCTTTCGCCTGTGTTGTTGTCGTCTAGTAAAGGCGTCGGTGAAGATTCGAACAAGACCGAGAGGAAGTTGTCATGGATCATTACTTCTATCGCGAGTCTCGTCATGTCCCTGCAATCTATACCGTTTTTGTATGATTATTTGGAGTCGGGAGGGAGTGTGAGGAATGTACGGACAGCCTCGACATTGGCGGTGGCGGCAAACAGGTTTTTTCAAGCCTACTTGGTTTCGTGAGTTGGGTCTTTTAGGATAATCCGTATCTTTTTCCTACTGCTTTCTCTCTCTCGTGCTTCTGCTTTTGACCATCACTGGCCAAGTAACTGACTGCCGAATTGTTTTTTTTTCTTTTCATAGGGACTTGGCGATCGGCTTCCTGAATTACCGTTCGCAAATCAACCTTCTCACCGGCTGGGTACATCATATCGTCTACATTGGTATCGTTGAATACGCGATCCGTCAGGGATGGGCTAGCGTGTTCAGTTTATGCGCATGTATGGAGGTAAGTACTAACATCGAGTTTTATTTTTTTTTCTGTTTTTCTTTCGTTTTTCTTTTTCTGTCCAAACCATCTTCGAGTCTAACATCTACTAACCAAACCCCACCTAGTTCCCAACCTTTATCCTCGGTCTCTCCATCCTCGTCCCCCGAACCCGTTCCAACATCTTCTTCGCCATATCCTTCTTCCTAACACGTATCTCCCTACACATTGTCTTGGCCCTATCCTATTACATGCCTCACAACAGACCTATACCTCCTACTACCGTGACCACCGCGTTCAACAACAACGCCGTGACTGCAGCTGCTCAGGGTGATATCCAAGCTCCTACGGCTGTAGTAGGATCCCTAGCTCCAGCTCTTATACTCACAGCTGTTTTCCCTCTTCACGCGAGTTGGTTTTATGGATGTATTAAAGGGTTTGTTAGGCGAGCTAAACAAGCAAAGGCTCATGCTAAGGAAGCTCGAGAATCAGAAGCAAGAACGATCAGGTTGAAGATTTATTCCGAACCTTGTTCTCCTCCTCCTCCTCCGTATAAGACGCTTTCCAAGTCTTCTTCCAGAAAGTCTGTTCAAACACCAACCACAGCTTCTTCAGCTTCAACCTCTATCCCAACACCAGACCCAGTTACACCAATTCCTCCTCCCGCGAAACTCATCATCACACCGGTTACTACTCCTATACCCATCGCATCCCGACCCGTTCCCCTACTCCTACCCAACCTACCTAGTCCTCTCAACCTCCCTCTCCCTCTCCCACTCCCTATCCCCTTACCCATCGTCACCCTCGCCTCTCGTCTCCTCCGCCGTCCTTACGCTCGTTACACGCATTACCGTACTAGGTTTCGAGCGCTGAGAGCTGAAGTGAGGAACGCTACCCGTGGTGGTGGTGCGAAAGCGAACCTGACAGTCAAGACGTTGGAAACGTTGAGAGAGGGATGGAGGGAAGGGAAGAGGAGAGCGAGGGATTATGGGAGGAAGGCTAGGGAGAGGTCGTATACGTCGATTGGGATAGGGAGTATGAGTTCGAGGGAGAGGGTTTATGAGGTTGTTGGGTTGGGAAGGAGGAGGAGGAGTGTGAGTAGTGACTCGGAGGAGGAGTTGGTGTTGTAATGTGAATGGTTGATTTTTTAGAGGGGTGGATATATGCGCGTTTTTTTTTTCTTGATTGGTTTTTTAGATTGGAATATTCCACAATTGGCGTGGTTTACTATTCCTCCCTTTCCTTTTTGTGGATCTTTTTTTTTGTATTTGGGTTTATGGAGGCAGGCATTTCAGTGTACGGCTTTTTCGTTCTTTTCCTCTTTTTTTTCCTCCCTACTTCTTGTTCTAACGAATCATGGTGTCAATTTAGTATGTACGTCTTTTCTCTTTTCTTTTCTCCTCTCACGACGCTACGACGTTCCTTTAACTCTGTGTGTATGTACTTACGCTCCTTAATGACCCTTCACTACTCCTCTTCCTCCCTCTCACCTCTTCCTTCCAGCATTTGTCACTCTAGCTATACCTCCTCCGCTTATTCCCATAACTTCAACCTGAAAGCTCTTTTACCTACCTACGTCACGGTATCTACATAGCCATTTTTGCGTCACCCGACGCGTGCCTCCGCTGTTTGTGTTACAGCTGTAAATCAAAACAACGACCCCATTTCCGAGTCCGATAACCGTTTACTAGGGTTCAACCAGCCGATATAGCGGAAAGGAAAGGATGGGAAGGAAGGCGGATGTTAACATGCGTATACTTATCGTACATACCGTAAGGGAAAAGGGAAGTGTATACTTAACTTGAACTTTGAACCCCGTCGACGGGCTTGGATTTCTTGAACGATGCATACATAATGTGTATAATACTATTTTTTTTTCTTTCTTGAAGTTGGTTGTTTGTTTGTTTGTACTACCTCTGTATCTACCTATACTTAAATACATACATACATACATACATACATACATATGGCATATCTTTTTTGGCATACCCTTGGGTAGATAGATTTCGGGTTGAATGGGATGTGGAACTCGAATGGCGCTGATCGCTTTCGGTATGGTGTAAGCATGAGCAATTTTTAGCGTATTATGTAAGTAGTGGGTCCTGAAAGCAGTTTCTGCCCTGATAGTGTCATCTTTAATGATCTCTGATGTTTTTGGTTTTGTTTCTTTGAAGCACGGGCACATGGTGTAGTTGGTTATCACATCCGCTTAGCATTTCGTGTGTATCTGCCATGCGGGGGGTGCTGGGTTCAATTCCCAGTGTGTCCAATCCTGTTAGAAGGGTGTTTTGGCATTTTATGTAAATTGCGTTTCTTGAAGTTAGTGTTGCCGAAACTCGGCTATGACTCACTCCGGCTCGACTCCAGTCGACTCCGGCTCCAAATCTGGTGACTCCACTCCGGAGTCGACTCGAGTCAGTTGAGTCAGCCGAGTCGCCAATGTAGTTAATTTATTATTATGTGAATATATCATTGAATAGAATTGAATACTTCTAAGATGAGTAACCGTTACCAAAACAGGTAATTAGGCTGTGTACAACATCTCAATTACCAAAAAAGGGTACTTATTCAGCTGGATCACTCAATTTCGCTCAAGTGACTTTAAACTTGCCAGAGTCACGAGTCACGAGTCCGACTCGGCTCGACTAAAAATCGACTCGACTCGTCGACTAGCCGGAGTCGAGTCGAGTCATGTGCAACACTACTTGAAGTGATTATTTTCTAATTTTGGGATCTCTTGCAGCTACTCAGTAATAGTGATGTGTCAGACCAGGCCTGAGCCCTTGAGCCCTTGAGTTCATGGTTCAGGCTCCAGATTCTTTTGAGCCCTATGACTGGGCATGCACACCAGAGCTTGCTTAGCCTGGCGCCAAGGGAGGGGTCAACCCTCGTCCTCGATATATTAAGACTCCGACGCGTTGCCGAGCTGTAGCCGCCTGCATACGCGCGTCTTGGAGCGCGAGACGCATGTCCAACAGGCTACACGAAGGCTTCTCAGCCCCCGGAAACAAGACTCTCATTCGCCAACTCATCTGACATTCCCTTCCACACGATATCCACAACTATGCTTTCGATGGAGTTTGCCAGATGGAATACATGTTCTAGACATGGTCAAGACCGGTGGAGGCGAGACTACTTACATCTCAGACTACTTATGTGATTGCCTTGCAAGAGTCAGAGAAACTGCCGGGAACTCATCCTCTCAAGAACGGTCCTCTCAGGAGAATGCCTCCAAATCCTCTGTCCCCCGAACAACTGGCCTCCAAAAACTTCGTTACAAACAAAACCGTGTTCAGCCGCATCGTCGCATTAAACGTGGACTAATACATCTTATACTTCCGAGTGACGTTTCGTGACATTAGCGCCGTATTACATTGTCTACCAAGGCATACTGGGCTCACCGCTACACTTGCAACTAGTGAGGAGGTGCCTAAGCTCATGGGGATTCTTGGCCTCAAACCTGGCTCTTTGCGTTCCACCGACGTTTCAACCGTCGGTCAGAATTACAATTTATTTTTCGGGCATTGAGGCATGGGCTGAAGGAGTGGTCTTTCGGGATCTGGATTGGGATTTGGATGGGAAACGAAAGACGATTATTTACCGTCCTTTGATTTCACTGGCTTTCTGTATATCTGTGTATCTCTAGCACAAATCCATTCCTTCTGACTCTCTCACTCATCGAAAATGTTTCTGACTCCATTGCTCGCTCTATTCCGATTGCTACAATAAAAACTCGAGCGATCTTTTCATTCAAAACGGTGTTGTTTTGTGATATGTACAGATGCTCTCAAAATTGGAAATGACTTCCCAATGTTGACGATGTCATTACTATGGAACCTGAAGATCCGCAAGGTGCTCTGTATCGCTCATGGTGAAAACTTGGACGAGGGTATTCTGTTTCTAAAAAATCGACTGTTTTTTGGTGGTGATGTCATTAGATTACAAATCGGCATGTGGCCGGCATGGGTCGGAGTTATAGTCATATCGAGGACGAGGGTTACCCCTTCCCTTGGCGCCAGGCTTTTAATACGAGAACGACTGTCTTCTCGTATTTTCCCCAAAAGCCGGGTTTTCAGGCTAGAGCTTGCTGGTTTGAGTGGTTAGCCATGAGATGTGCCAGTGTGTATGTGTGACATCAAGTGGTCAGATTTGAGGGTTAGCATACCTGAACACAAGTAAAATAAGGTTTTTGGAATTTAATTTTGATGTACTGGGAGGGCGGGGTATTAAGGTGATGAGGACTCAGAAGAAGTAAATAATATATCTCATTTTTAGCTTATTTTTTGCAAAAATTTCCTTTTTTCTCTACATACATACATATCTTCTTTCTTTTTGGCATACTCCCTTGATAGATAAATTTTGGGAATGGGATGTGGAACTCAAATGGCGTTGATCACTATCAGTATGGTGTAAGCTTGAGCTCTTTTAGGCTATGTACTATGTAGTAGGTCTTTGAAAATGTGCAGTTCCTGCCTGATGGTGTCATCTTTGATGATTTTAATTTTGTTTCTTTGAAGTATGGGCACATGGTGTAGTTGGTTATCACATCCGCTTAGCATAAGGCAAAAACCAGGAAAAGCAGTGCGGGGGGTGCTGGGTTCAATTCCCAGTGTGTCCAATGCTTCTCCTCATTAAGTGTTTTCTTTTTTTCGGCATTTATGTAAATTGCGTTTCTTGAAGTGATTATTTTCTAATTTTGGGATCTCTTGCAGCTACTCAGTCCCAGTAGGAAGTGACTTCTTTTCGGCGCATTTCTAAACATTTATTCCATTTCTAAACATTCTCGTGCTTTTCCAGACATCCATTTGTGTCCAAATAGTTATTTTTAGGTTTTGGAACTCGAATTAGAATTCATCAAACCCGATCTCGTTCCGAATTTTGGTCTTGCCCCAAATTCTAAAACAAATCCACTCCCTCTCAATTCTATATTTGTGCGCTGTTGTCTTTTTTATTTCTCTGAGTCCCCTGAAATTTTGACTGCGTTCGCATTCGCATTCGGCATCTTCCGCTCTATATAGCCCTTCCGACGCGTCTCACTGCCTTTATAATTGCTTTCTCTCTTGGCCACCAACATCCGGTTGCCCCAGTACTAAGGTGCGTAAGTTAGTTTTTCATCTTTATGCTTGGTCTTCTGTTCCTCTGTTCTTATACATACTTACCACGCAAATAATACAGAAGGCAATTACGTGTATAGCACGAGGCTGGCGGACGACGCTTCGCTCAAGGTAAGCTTTCAACCTATGTCTGTTGCACTGTTGTTTTAATACATTTCATGCAAATAGGTCACATATGCATAGTATGTGCATATAAGACGCATATATGCGCATATAGTGAGTCAAATGACTTGGGCAACGTTGGCATTAAATTTACTGATACTTACAGACTCTCGGTCACGATGACTCGCTTATGCTTTGGACGGTGTACGTTAACGGTTTAGTAAACGTCATGAGGATCGTGAAGGCGTCGGATTTGAGGATGCTGCCGGATAAGACTAAACGGAGCGTTGGAAGGTACGCAAATATATTGTTGAACATATTTTCACCTATTAACTTAGCCTCGTGAACTTCTACAGTTGTTTTACTACTTATTTACGTGTCCAACCCGCCTTTCCATTCGTTTCCAACCCGTCTTTCCGTTCTTTTCCAACCCGCCTTTCCATTTGTTTCCGACCTGCCCTTCCATTTGTTTCCAACCCGCCTTTTCATTTTTTTCCAACCCGCCTTTCTGTTTGTTTCCGAGCCCACCTTACGACTATGGCTTATATAGAACTGGCAACGGCGATGGGAAGGGACTGGAGCAGGGTTCGGAATGAAGAAGTTCACATATTTACGAGATAAATGTACAAAAAAGTATTTGGTACATTATTATACATTTTACTGTTTATAAATGTACGAAAATGTGAAGAAATGTTTCCTGATACATTAGTTACCTTTTGGTGCATTTAAATGTTTGAAAATGCGTAGAAATGAAGTGACTTCCTACTGGGACTCAGTAATAGTGATGTGTCAGACCAGGGCTGAGCCCTTGAACCCTTGAGTTCATGGTTCAGGCTCCAGATTCTTTTGAGCCCTATGACTGGGCATGCACACCAGAGCTTGCTGGTTTGAGTGGTTAGCCATGAGATATGTTTGTATGTGTGACATCAAGTGATCAGATTTGAGGGTTAGCATACCTGAACACAAGCAAAATAAGGTTTTGGAATTTAATTTTCATGTACTGGGGGGCGGGGTGTTAAGAAGATGAGGACTCAGAAGAAGTAAATATTATATATCATTTTTAACTTGATTTTCTCAAATATTTCCTTGTTTCTCTGTTCCTCCTCTATTTACTATCTTTTCCCTAGACTCTGGAGTCTCTTTTCTTAATGATGTGGTTCTCTCCTCCACTTAGCTTCAGTTAAATGAGAAATATTGTGATTTTTTCATTACTTTGAGGGTTTGATTCTGATCAGACATGAATTCAGGATGAATTTCTAGCAGTATGCATACTATGCAAGGCAAGTAATCAAACAAATACAACAAAATGTTATTTGCCCCATCTTCCCAGTGTAGGATAGACTGACCTCGTAATACTTACATAGAGCATTTTTACACACGGTGGATGGATGATAACAAATCCCTCTCCTAAGAGAGACTTCTCAGGTCAAGGGAAATTTGCCGTGTTTTTATTTCTGTTCTTGTCGAGGCACCCCTGATTGCTCGACACAAGTACAAGAAGCTGGATGATTAGGAAACTCATAACTTGAATTTGAGCAATGAAGTCTTGTTTTGAAATTCTAAATAAATATCTCCGGTTCCATATCAGATCTAGAGAGATCTATTTAGGAATCATGAAAAGCTCCTGACCCCTCTTTCTTTGAGTTTCATTCTCGTGATCGACTGGAAGCAATTGTTAACAAACCGTGTAACGAAAAGTTTGTTTCTAGCAGCCTCGGAAAGCTTTTTACATAATACTTCACGTAATCATTGCGTCATTTTCAGCGCGCTACCCCTTCAGCACAGGCTGGAATCCTGCTTACATTATACTCAAGTATTCCCACCCCTTTCACCCTCACGCGCAGCCCAAATTCTTGCTTACATGATACTCAAGATACTCCCCTAACTCACGAACTGACGCTATCTCTCTCGCCATAGCCTCGATCCTGTGCTGTTTTTAGGAAAGTCAATGTCCGAGTCCCTTCATCCCTGCTACGGTATCTTTCCTCATAACGTAAACCATGTATTGTACTAAGTACTATAGTCTCACACAGCCCCCTATACTCCCATCCAGAACCTGCTGAAATCGTGAACCCGTAGAGTCCTCAAGCTCCTTTTTTTTTGTTATAAATGTCTGCATTGGTCCCATTTCTGACATGACTCCCATTTGACCTAAGTGGGAACATTGGTTCCGATGGAAATTTAGTCTCGAGAATCCAGACTGACGTTTCACACTGAGTATATGTGTGAAAGGTAGTCTGGTGTTAATCTCACAGGCGTCGCACCCACAGAAAATTATTAGCTAATCCCGCGTTCCCACGGTAGCTTTTCCCGAATCTCTCTTACTTCCGAACGTACTTGCAAGCTTTCACATCAGTCTCATTGTATTTTTATCAAAGAATATCATCAAGGATATCAAGAAGCATTAATTCCAAACCAAAACCCCGCAAGAAATGGCTTACAGCAGCTGACGCAAATCCTACTTACTTATTCCAAGAACTGTCTCTAGCAACCTCAAGCTATCAGTGCTATCACCCATATTCAACACCCCAAGAAGTTTATTCAAGCTGTATTTTTGACATAGAACCTCTAGGAGTTCTCTCTGTGCCTCAATATATTCAGACTTCCGAGCAAAACACTGGCCATCCGGCACACCTCAAACTACCAATATTTCACTTGAGTCTTTCCAGAATAACTACATGATAACCCCCAATGACTCAACTAAACTATCAGAACGCGTTGGAAATGTGCCGGACCAAAAATGCGTTGTAAAAAAGCAAACTAATATGATGGCAAGAAGTAAAACGCGTGTCTGTGCTGGGCGCGTTTGTGGCAATGCCTCTCGGATTACCTAATAAATTTCTACTGCTGTTCCGCGTATGAGATAACCATAAGACTAATGGAAATTGTGCTCTGAAATTGAGTGATGGGGCACAATGGCCTGAGGTCTTGGAAAGATAGTCTGTGCATGGTCTTTATTGGAATAAGTTTATGTCTAGCTGGATATCACGGTTTGTTATTCGCCGCTTGTCGGCCCCTCCCCCGAGTCATTTAGAGGACTCTCAAACTCCCATCACAACATATATAGTTTGGTAATCCAACTTGA